AAACTCCACAGGACAAATGACTTGGTTTCTGAACAAACAAATTACAAAGAAAAGTAAGAGATAAAGAAGGAACCCATGAATTAAAAGAAACTTTAACAAATTAATATGTGAATACACCTTCTTTGCCCAATTCAAATAAAATAAATCAGTTTTTAAAACATAGGCGAATTAGGGGCTGCAGTTGTGGCTCAGTGATAGAGTGCTTGCCTAGCATGTGTGAGGCCCTGAGTTTGATCCTCAGCACCACATTAAAAAATAAAAAAGGTATTGTGTCCAACTACAACTAAAAAATAAACATTTTTTAAAAAACATAGGCAAATTAGTAAAATATGAACTTGGACTGAATAATTGGTGATATTAAGAAATTATTTTGGATACCAGCCTGACGATGATATTACAAGTATGTTTAGAAATGGGAGTTCTTGACTTATAGAGGCTCTTGAATATTTATATATGAAATGATATATAGTACCTGAATTTTGCTTTCAAAAGAATCTGGGAGGGATAGCAGCAAGGAATGAGATGGATTTTGGGTATAGATAAATCAGTATTGATGCTGTGTTGATAATTGTTGAAGCAACCTAACAAATACATGGGATATTATTATTTTATACTCTTGTATGAAATAAAACATTGTTTGTTTGTGTTTTAAAAAACAGATTTTGGAGTTAGGCTTCCTAGGTTCAAAATCCAGATCTGTCACAAATCTGTATAACCCTACAGAGTTACTTAGTCTCTCAGTGTATTAGTGCCTTTGTAAAGTGGAAATCATATAATAATACCTAAATAATAGGGTTTTTAGGGGGAAATAAATGTTAATAAGTAGAAAGCAATCATAGATGTTAGCTGTTATCATATATTAAATATACAAACTGAAATGATAAAATCACAGTGGTTAAAGATTTTAGTGTACTTAGGAATAGCGTAGAGAAGCTTATTGTACTTACTTAGTACAAGAGCAAACTGAAACCCATGGTCTTTAAATCTCTGTGTAGTACAATCCCTGTTTAGAGGCAGAACTCAATTCTAGGTTTCCTACTAGTCATTAGAAATGTCTTACAGTAAATTTTTACTGAAAAATAAATATGTAAGAGTCAAAAGACAAAATTTAAATAAATTTAGTTAAATGATCCCATTACCTTTTATTAATGATTTATGAATCAGGCAGCATCTCATTTAAAGAATAGATAAATGGTACACTGGGCATGGTAGAAAAATCGGTTTTTATAAAGTAGCTTGAGCAGAAACAAGGAAAAAGCATAATACAAAGAGCATATTGTTTAACACCAAGTTACTACATGTTACTTTTCTTGTAAGGGTTAAAGCAGAGGAGGTTTCCTTATCATGCAAGCTAAAATTGGCACATGTAAGTATTTGGCTATTATCTGTCTCTTCCAATTTCTCAAAAAGTCAGATAGACAAACTAGTGTCAGTTTGATGTGATAGAACCTTAGCATGAGTGAATCCATTTTGGTTTGGTCTGTTGGGTCCTAATGCGGTAGCTCAGGACAAATCAGTGGCCTCTATGAAGTTTCTTTAACACAAGATTATTTAACATAACTTTAATTATTAAAGAGGAAGACTCAGGATTGCAAATATTTATTTTTCTTACAATTTATTGCCATTTGAATGAAAACTCCAGATTGTTCTTTTTTATGTTTGCTTTGAGAAGGAACAGTGAAAACCTAAGCTGCATCTAAATTTATTGGAAGGGGGCTAAATAAACATGTTAGGGAATTTTTGAGGAAGTAAAGGAATAAAAGTAGAGTATTTGTTCTACCAAATAGTAAAACATTTTGCATAGTTACAGTAACTTTATGGTTCTAGTATTAGAATAGACAGATGAGTGAAACCAGCTAGTATCAGAAATAAACCCCTTTAGCACATAGGCTTTTATTATTAACTTTTAAATCATTTGCTCTTAGTGGGGACTACTAAGCTTTCCATTTAGAAAAACACAGGTGGATTAGATTATTTCATAGAAATACTGAAAGAAAATGTTATATAGAAGCAAGGAAATCTTTTTGGAGTTAAAAAAGAATAATGAAATATGGATACCAAAATGAAAAAAATATTATAAATTTTACTACATAAAATTTTAAAACTTTGGTAGAGTAATATATGCCTTAAGTTATAGATAAAAGAGAAAACTGAGAAGAAATATTGATGGCATATAGACAAGGGGGTTCTAGTAGTTCACCTTATTAGTCAGGATCCAGTCAAGGGCCAGAAATCATACCAGGCATTTTAAAAGGGAAAATTTAATACAAAAGAATTATTTATTTTTGTGTGTGTATATTTTTTTAAGTTGTAAATGGACATGCTACCTTTATTTTATTTATTTTATCTTTATGTGGTGCTGAGGATCGAACCCAGGGCCGGACACGTGCTAAACAAGCACTTTGCCACTGCCCTACAACCCCAGCCCTATAAAGAATTATTAATGAGTAAAATGTTTACTAAAATGAATAAAACTCTGAAGAATAAAAACATAGTAAATGTAAACATTAGCTACTACTATCTCTTGAGCTGAGGGAGAGAATCCAAAAAGAAACAAAATGGATGGGGCTTGGGTTGTAGCTCAGTGGTTGAGCCCTTGCCTAGGGTGCAGGAGGCACCTGCACCTCAGCACCACATTAATAAACAAACAAACATAAACAAATTAATTAAAAATATATACATTAAAATATATATTAAACATTTTATATATAGTATACATATTTAAAAAAAGGAAAGAAACAAAATGGAAGATAGCTCTCCTCCAAGCCTGCCATTCAGACCTTGTTGGGGAGAGAATAACTGCTGCCCAAAGACATATCAGTGGGCCAAAGCTGATCCACAGCTGGAATGCCACAGGTCCAGGTTGGTTTGTAGAAAGCCACTTGCTGGGATGCTAATGGCCTCCTGATGATGAACAGAAAGTTGACTGCTAGAGTGTTATGAGCCAGAGCAGGTGTGCTAGACACTAGTTATAGGAATGTTGTGGTTCAGAGATGTACTCAGAAAGCCTCCTGGTAAAGTAAACTGGAGAAACTTCTGAAGGGTGATCAACAATGGATCTTCTGCAGAACTTCTAGAAGCCATGCCAGACACAAAAGAAAAAAAAGTCACACCCCAACCTGAAAGATAAGCCCTTTTTTATGCCGTGTCATTCAGTGCCCCTCCAGTATATTAACAAAGAACCAGCTGGCAAAGTTCCACATCTAGTTTTGCAAAGACTGGTGGATTTGGATTTGGTAGGCTATTAATCTAAAACTGGCATTTTATGAAAAGTTCTTATATATACATATAAGAAAATTGTGAACACTCTAATTGAAAAACGGCAGAGTACTTGTATAGAAAATTCACAGAAAAATAAATGGCTAGCCAATGTTAGAAGCATAGTCAAATTCAATATCAGTATATTTTCTGGATTGAAATTATTGTGAATGTATGTTGTTTCTTAAGGTCTACTTGCCTGGTGTTGTATGTGCTCTCAGTAGTCTTATTCTTCATTTACTTAAGTTATATTGCTCATTTGGACTTCTTTCTAGGGCATGCCCTTCTCTAGGAAGTGCAAAAGGGAAAAGCAGATTGGAAATGAAGAAATAAAGCTATCAGCATTCCTAGGCAAAATGATTCTTTATGCAGATAATTCCAATTTGTCTGTACAAAAACTAATAGAAGTACTAAGTGAGTTTACTGTGGCCACAGAATAAAAAGCCAGTAAACACAAGTTCTTTACACCTCTACATACTAGCAGTGAGCAATTGGAAATTAGGAATGTCTTAGAGCTAGTGTTGTAGCTTAGTGGTAGAGAGCTTGCCTAGCATGTATGAGATCCTGAATTTAATCCCTTGCACACCCCCTTCAGATTAAGGTACCATTTCAAGTAGCATCCCCCCAATTTTTTTAAATACATAGGGACATAACTAGCAAAGTTTTAACAAGGTTTACTGAAATCTAAAATATTGAAAGAAATCAAAGTGTTAAATAATTGGAGATAGAAACCATGTACATGGAAAGGAAGACAGTGTTGTTAAAATAAAATGTCAAGTTGACACAAATTCAACACAGTCTCAATCAAAATCCCAGCAGGTTGGGCACATTTTAACTCACTGGTAAATTCAGCTGCTGCTGTTATCATTGTTATTTACTAGAATTAGCCTATGGTGGAGCTTGCTGCATTTGATACAGTGAGTTGCTTGTCATTTGAAATGTTCAAATAGAGATCAGTAAGACCTTATGCTAAGGGTGCTATATAGGAAATTACAGCATTAGATAGGAAATTGGATTAGATGATCTATTTCAACTTTTCTAATGAAAAATCTTATGAATGTATTATTTATAGGTCAGTGATTTACATCTTTGGGGAAAGAGAGATACTATCATTCAGGGTTTTACAAGTACATATATGTTTTCTATAATAATCCTAAAACATTTCATGTAATAAAGGATGTTACTAATATGAATGTGTTACATGAGTGATTTAAGGCCTCTAATGACATTTGTTTACTTTTTGTTGTTGTTGTAGTTCATCAAGCTGACTAAAAAGGAAGATAATGTCAATCTTTTAAACTCTGAATTTTAATTATGGCTCTTCCAAAGTAGTATAAATCTCAGAGAAATATACTTTAATATTCATTTTAAGACAGCTTATAATATTCATATTTTCAGTTGCCTAGCATGTATGAGATCCTGAATTTAGTCAACCTAGTAAATATTTCTCAGTATATATCTCAGAAATTATCATTATAAGTTAATTATTTTACCAGAAAGTTAATTTTTAAAGATATTGTATTCTTAACATGTATTTTAAATATATATTGGTTATATGCTTTTATAACAATATAAGAGAACTTTAAATAATAAGTAAATAACCCATGGATTCTGGGATTTAAAAAATTGGCTGAAATATGACTAGTTACCTATTTTTACTTTCTTAATTTCAATAATACCTTGATTGAAATATGAATAACTTTTATTTTCATTAATTTCTTAATTTCCTTTCTATTTTAAAGCCCAACCTGAGTTCCTGAAACAGCCTGCTAATATATATGCTCATGAATCCATGGATATTGTATTTGAATGTGAAGTGACTGGGAAACCAACTCCAACTGTGAAGTGGGTCAAGAATGGGGATATGGTTATCCCAAGTGATTACTTTAAAATTGTAGTAAGTATTTTTTCAAAGAAGTCCATTTATTTCTGAAAACACTATTTTTAAATTTAATCACAAGAAATGTTATCTTATATATATACCAGTGTATATATTGCAAACAAAGAAAAAATGGAAAACTCATAGCAAAATTTGCATAGAATGTAATTTCTTCATTGGCTGATGAGAAAGCTTATCACAATGTATTTTCACAGCTTATGTGAGGTCAAATCAGCAAATCAGTGACTGAACTAAAAACTTTTAAGAGTCTACCAACAGTCTGGTGTTCTTACATAGCTGCCGCCATTTCCTGGAGAATAATTTGTGTGTGTGTGTGTGTGTGTGTGTTGTGTTGTGTTCCCAGTTGTCTTGACAACTTTTTATACACAGAGTGGAAATCTGTCCCTTAAAGTGTGGAAAGATGATTCCTTTGAAAAAATATCAGTAATTATATATAGACTACAAAAACTTAACCAAAAGTCATATACTGATGCCAAACCCTTCAAAATTAAGATGACCTAATGTCAGATAATTATGTGACAGTAGGAAAGATTCTTTAAAAAAGTAAGTACATTATCACATGATACCCCATAAATATGCACATTTTTATGTATCAGTTAAAAATTTTAAGTGCTAAATATATTAAGAATCTTAAGCCATAATTGCTTTTTACTTTATATATGTATATATATGAACTGCTTAGTAGACATTATCTAGTAATAATACATCATCATTAGCTAACATTATAATAAAAAAATTATCCAAGTTTAAGTAATAATAAATATTAATGTTATACCTTAAGATTTATACATGACATTCATAAGAAATATCAGAAGTAATTATAGTTGTTAAAGATTTAATAGCTTGTTATAAATTTGTCATAGAAGTAATTCATTCTTTTTGCGGGGGTTACCAGGGATTAAACTCAGGGTCACTCGACCACTAAGCCCTGTTCTGTATTTTATTTAGACACAGAGTCTCACTGAGTTCCTAGCACCTTGCTTTTGCTGAGGCTGGCTTTGAACTGGTGATCCTCTTGCCTCAGTCTCCTGAGCCACTGGGATTACAGACATGTGCCACTGCGCCAAGCAGTAATTCATTCTTTTTTTTTAAATATTTTTTAGCTACACATAGACCCAATATCTTGGGTCTTTTTTATTTTTATTTTTATATGATGCTGAGGATCGAACCCAGTGCCTCACATGTGTAAGGCAAGCGCTCTACCCGTGAGCCACAACCCCAGCCACAGTAATTCATTCTTAAAGAGAAAGTATTTTCTACTTTTGAAATTCATGTCATGTTACAAAAAGTAATTCATAAGTATTTAACATTAAAATACAACCTGAATTAGCATTTTTTATTTTATCAGTATTTGCACATTATTGTAGACATTTTAATACCATTTTTATAGGGCTGGGGTTGTGGTTCAGTGGTAGAGTACTCGTCTAGCACATGTGAAGCACTGAGTTTGATCCTCAGCACCACATAAAAATAAAAATAAAAAAATAATATGCAAAAAGTGAAGAAAATTTC